TCAAGTGTCTAAGGAGTTTTCAGCCAGGTAGCAGAATGAGTGTCTTCCCACGCAGGCATTTTATTGAACATCGCCTTGGAAGGAATATTGTTAGCTCCAACGTGGCAATGAGAGATGAAGCCCAGGCGAGTATAAAGCCTAGCCACTACCGTAATTATTAAGCTACCTAGCCCCTTTCTCCTGTAGCTCTTGTGTGTTCCCAACATACCCAATGACCCGTAAAAGGTGGAAGAAACCCAGGAGACGGGAATTTCCTCGTCTCCAGCGTAGGACAGGTGCTGGAGGTCAATAGGTCTGTCCTCGGTAACACTTGAATCAAGATAAACCCCGACGGCAGGCAGGTACTCCGTCATCTTCCACATGGGCTCCAGCGGTAAGTGCTTGCTGTAGAGGCTCATATTTAGCAAGTGCTGTAGCCCTGCCTTGCCCAGTCGACGGACGCAGAAACCAGGGCCACACCTGCAGTAAAACGGAAAAAGATTAGAGTATAAGGAAATAAGAGGAAATGCGAAACTGTTATAAGTTAAACAATGAAGACGAACCAACACAAGCGTAGATCTGCTTCTGGCTTCTGTAACAACAAATATGCAATAACAGACTGAGAACATGGGGAAAAAGATAAAAAAAAAAGAAACGAAGTCATGTGACGTGGTGCATTGATAATAGTTCTGTATTTGTTAATTGACTCATTCCTAAATAATTTAGATTATGAAAAAGGTATGGCCACGGAGGTATCCCTGAGGTACCTTATTAGTTATATTCAGCCATTTGGATATAATAATAAAATAATCTTCAATACTTCTGAAGGATTTGTTTGTCGCAGAAAAGATGACACATTACCTAGGTCAGTAAATTAAATGGTAACAATTAAAGTGCATTTATTGCATAATAACTGAGGAGAAGATAAGATTTCATTCGGATTTTTAACCCCTCAGGGTTATCCACCCAGGATAACCCAAGAAAGTCAGTGCGTCATCGAGGACTCTGTCTCTCTTATTTCCATTGGGGTCTTCAATCTTGTCCCCCAGGATGTGACCCACATCAGTCGACTAACGCCCAGGTACCTACTTGCTGCTAGGTGAACAGGACAACAGGTGTAAGGAAATGCGTCAAAATATTACTGCCCAGCCGGGAATCGAACCCGAGCCATCCGTGTGTGAAGTGAGATCTTTGCCAGCCAGGCCAGCACTGTTACTATACCTGGAGAGAGTTCCGGGGGTCAACGCCCCCGCGGCCCGGTCTGTGACCAGGCCTGGTGGATCAGAGCCTGATCAACCAGGCTGTTGCTGCTGGCTGCACGCAAACCAACGTACGAGCCACAGCCCGGCTGGTCAGGAACCGACTTTAGGTGCTTGTCCAGTGCCAGCTTAAAGACTGCCAGGGGTCTGTTGGTAATCCCCCTTATGTATGCTGGGAGGCAGTTGAACAGTCTCGGGCCCCTGACACTTATTGTATGGTCTCTTAACGTGCTAGTGACACCCCTGCTATATACAACATGCACCTTTCATGAACACATCCCAAACAAAATTCACATTTAGACTGCAGATGTAAAGTTGCATTGTTTGTGGTTTGGTTTACCTGCTTCGTTCACATCACTCTATTTCCTTCATTTATTAAATATGTGTTAAATACAAATTCAGAACTATCACTAGGGGCATTGATGCTGGTGAGGAGCTCTTGATCCAAGCAACTGGGCCTATCTTCACCTTCCTTGGATCAAATCTAATTGCCGCCCATTCCCTAGGCCTTGTATGACCCATACATTTGTTGCTCTTCCCCATTAAAATGTAAGGAAAGAAGATCGCCGCTGGCCACGAATTCCTTATACTCATACAATCAATAATACATTTAATTTTTATTTTACTAGTCAGTTCTTAAATGTTTCACCCACGGTATTACAATTTATTCTCAGCAAATAAAAAGTATTCTCAGCATATTTTATGGGAACCTTTCTTTTACTGGAAAGAATCAGGTTAAAAAAAGTTTGATTACCTAAGTTTACCAACGCGGTATCTACGTCAGCATTTGAAAATAATACATTCCTACAGAAGCAAAAGTACGCCACCTACCTGAGGGGATCATCATCCAGGTGAGGGTTGTAGGTGAACGTATGATGACCATTGCTGAAGAAGGAGATGTCTAGTTCTGAAGCCAGCATCTTCATTGGCTTCTCCAAATAATAAGGGACATGGTAAATATTCAAGTGTCCCCGCCAATCAAGTTGGGACGTTTTCTTTAACACCCTTATCAGATGGTCAACTTCGTCTTCCCGGCAGCTGAAGCTAACATCAGATGGAGAGTTCTGAAGGAAACAAATTTACTAAGTGGCTTATAGCTCAGAGCCAAAGATCCTAGGTTTGATCCTGTGAAAGGAGTAACTTTGAGCATGTTTCCATACACCTGTTGCCCCTGTTTAAGTATCAGTAAATGGGTACTTGGGAGTTAGCTGACTCGTAGATGAGGCTTGGCCCTGATTGAGCTGAGATAGGATAGCGGCTCTTTGCCTGAAAATGAACTGAGATAGGACAATAGCCTGTAAGCGACGGAAACAGGATAACGCTTATCCTGTAGATTCAACGGTATAAGTACAATGATATGGGTAAATAAGAGATGATTGCTAATATTATGAATGAAAAGAAGTTGGATGCCCTTCCTCTAAGTGAAACAAAGCTGAAGGGGGTAGGTGAGTTTCAGTGGGGAGAAATAAATAGGATTAAGTCAGAAGTATCTGAGAGAGTTTGAGCTAAGGAAGGGGTAGCGATAATATTGAAGGATCAGTTATGGAAGGAGAAGAGGGAATATAAATGTATAAATTCAAAGATTATTTGGATTAAAATAGGAGTCGGATACGAAAAGTGGGTTATAATAAGTGTGTAGGCACCTGGAGAGGAGAGGAGTGTAGAGGAGAGAGAGAGATTTTGGGAGATGTTAAGCGAGTGTAGGGACTTTGGAACCAAGTGAGAGAGTAATTTTGGTATGGGACCTAAATGCTAAAGTAGGAGAAACACGTAAAGAGGGTGTGGAAATCGGGGGTGCCAGATGTCAATGAAAAAAACCCGGGAAGTGGAACAATCGGAGGTGTGTAGGGGTGCCCCGGTTTTCTCGTGTTTAGGGTCGCTCTTACTGCAAAACTTTAATTTGTGTCATCAACCTAAAACGAACATCCCTCTACCCCGGGAAACCCAAAATCTTGGGCAAAAAACATTATAACTGAGCAAAAAAGGGGGAAATTTAGTTGCACTGCGTAGCAGATTTACTGCCTTGTCCCCGGGGAAAAAAAAATAATAAAATTGAACTTTTCATGCGAGGAAGAAATTTCCCCCGAACATTAGATACATAGTGTATAGTGTATACTACAGGGCTCCCTATATATTGAGATAAAGGCAAAAGTGTTTTTGAAAACGGGTGAATTTGTAAATAAGTGTAACCCTATAGGGAAAGGGTCCCAGAAGTCGCCAGAAACTTACCACATCAGCTGTTTTTTAATAATTTTACGGGCCTGTAGTGTACTCGCATAAATCTAGTGATACCAGTGAATAGCAGAATACAGTGTTGTAGTAGAAACAAACCATATTATAATGGTACTTAGTGGAGTGGAGTGACTTTCTTATTTCTTTTCTTGATACAGACTTTACTGTAAATTTTCATATAACCGTAGTTACCACGGTCGCAAATACAAAACGAGAAGCAATTATTACTACAGAAAAACGCCCTTCCTCCAAAAATTTGCCCCAGTCAATATGTGATAATATAGCTTTTTGTGTGGAGCGGAAAAAAAAAAAATAAAAAAAGCCGATACAGCGATTGATAAACAAGGAGGTACCGTTCGTCTTTGAGGAGCTCCCCAGATACCCCGGGGCCTTTTCAACACGAAAGTTTACTTTTGTATCAGTCAAATCACATATTACGGGGGTAAAAATTTTCCCCAGTAGACCCTTTTCATGTGTTGCTCAAATCACCGACCAGTATTTTTAAAATAAGTGACCACTGTCAACAGATGGCGGGTCCGGCCCCTTGACTGGTCCGAACCCTTGACTGGTCCAAACCCCGGGACTGGTTTCAAACGTTTCGTTGGACAAAAAGCAGACTGTAAAGGATGGGTTTAGCGCCCTTATAAAACAAAAACAAAAAAAATCAGGAACGTGAGGGTAAGCTGTCCCCAATATCAAAAAGATTAAAAAACAGAAATAAAAATACTAGAGCTTCATTTAGGAGGTTTTTAAATATAATTTTCAAGAGGTTGCTAGTAAATTCCCATAAATCAACCATTAAAATCATTATGAAGCTGTTGTGTCTGTGGTCAATCAAAACAAAGGGGCTTCCACAGGGATAAATTGTCTTTTTTTGTGGAATTGGGTTCCCCCCCTTTCAGAATCCCAGAACTAGCTAAAAAGCATTTTAAAACAAAAAGTGTTTCTGGTATGCCCAAATGGGAAAATTGTGGACAAAAAACACAAGGGTATTAAAAGAGGACAACATCAAAGCGCTTTCATAGAAAACCGGGAAGTTTCTACAACAGATGGGAAAACATAAAAAAGTCGGGGCTAATGGTACTCCCCTTGATACGGCCATGTAGTCAAAACTGTAAGGCTGGAGGTGATGTCCGGGGAGACAGTAATATAAAGTGGAGGTGCTGTCCGGGAGCAGTAATGGTGAAGCGGGTGCTGTCCGGGGAGACAGAAATGGTGAAGCGGAGATACTGCCCGGGAGACAGTAATGTAACTGGAGATTTTTCCGGGTAGTGGGGGAAATTTATACGCGGAAAGGGAATACATATAAATGACCTCATGGGGGACAGGGCCATAGTGGGGGAACAAGTGTAGTCAAAGATAAGAAAAACCAATATTGCAAACTAAAAAATTCCGCAAAAAATAGCAAAAAAGAGGACCCCAATAGCAATAGGGGAAAAATTTACCAAAAAACAACTGGGGGGAGCTCCATTGTTGGGGCAGGGGGATAGAATAAACAGGGAAACATGCCCAACAGGGAATACAGCACAGAAACCCAAAGGGCAAGCGAAACCAACCCTGTGCACATACTATGCACTTGGACTCTGGCAGGGAAATCTGAAAAACAGATGGACGTGCAACTATGACCACCCTAGAAAATGCCATGCCCATATACAACAGGAAAATCAAACTCCCTTCCCTTAAGTTTTTTTCACCCTAAAATGTGTACCTTTCAACAGGAAAGACTGTCTATAACTTAAATTGCCGGGCATACCATCTAAAGGGGACAAAAAGTACAAAACATCCGGGCCATGGGAAAACTGGGTAGCCCAGCCACTCAAGAGGGAGGGGTTTTTTTTATGCCGGGAAGGAAAAAAAACTGGCGGGAAATGGAGAAATCGTACACCAAATCCACTTTCCCGGGAGGGGAACCGGGCCTCTATTACTCGCATATAACTATGATACCGTGAATACAAATACAGTGTTGTAGTAGCAACTAACCGTATTTAATGGATTTGGGGAGTGGAGTGACTTTCATTAGTTTCTTTTTCTGAAAACCAGACGTTACTGTAAATTTTCATATAACCTGAGTTACCAGGGTCGCAATATACCAACGAGAACAATTATTACCAAAAAAAAGCGCCTTCCCCAAAAATTTTTCACCATCAACTATAGTGTAATAACATTTATTGTGTGGAGACGGAAAAAAAAAATAGAGAAGCTAGATACAGCATTGATAAACAAGGTGGAGGCTCGACCGTTCGTCATTGTAGGAGTGCCAGCAGTCCCCGGGGCCTTCAACACCAAGTTATACTTTTGTATAAATAAAATCAAAATTTTACTCGGGAGAAAATTTTCCCCATAGATCCTTCATGTGTTAGCTCAAATCAGACCAGTATGGTTTAAAAAGTGACCCACTGACAGATCAGATAGATGGCCCAACCCTTTTGACGGGTCCGAACCCGGGACTGGTTTCAAAACGGTTTCGTTGTGCACCACCTAGCAGGTTTTAATAAATTTTAAGAGGTTGCTATAGAATTGCAGTAAATAAACCCATTCAAATCATTATGAAGCTGTTGTAGTCTGTGGCCCAGTCAAACAAACGGGGGAAGCTAAATTGTATTTCTGGGGAAATTGGTGTCACGCCCCTTGTGCAGATACCCAAGAATATACAAGCAGTTTTAAAAAACGGGGAAGTGTTTTTGGGTAGCCCAAAAGAGTAAATCTGTGGACTAAAATCACAAGGGTATTAAAAGAGGTCCATCAAAAGGCTTTCATAAAAAACCCTGGAAGTTTCTACACAGATGGGGAACATAAAAGTCCGGGCAAATGTACTGCCCTGATACTGGCCATGTAGTCAAAAAATGTAAGGCGGAATGATTTTGGTAGTCAGAAAAGGGGGGGCTATATGCGCCGGGGGAGACAGAAGGGGGAAGCTGGAGGTGCTGTCCTGGGAGACAGAAATGGGAAGTGGAGGTGCTGTCCTGGAGACAGTAATGGTAAGCTGGAAGCTGTCCTGGGAGACAGTAATGGGGAAGCTGAGATGCTGCCTGGGAGACAGTAATGGTGAAGCGGAGATTTTGTCCGGGTAGTGGGGGAATTAACGCGGGAAAGGGATACAAAAATGACCTCATAGGGGACGGAGCCATAGTAGGGAAACAAGTGTAGTAAAAGAAAAGAAAAACCCAAATATGCAAACTAGAAATCCGCAGGAAATAGCAACAAGAGGCTCCACTAGCAATAGTGAGGATATTTACCAAAAAACAACTGGTGGGACTCCATTGTTGGTGCAGGAGGGATAGAAAGTAAGAAGGGAAACAGCCCCAACGGGGAATACAGTCACAAAACCCCAAAGGGCAAACGGAAAACCAAGCCTGTGCACAACTATGCACTCGGTATCTCGGGCGGGAAATCGGGAAAAAAAATGGGACGTGCAACTATGACCACCCTGGGAAATCCCATCCCCAATGACAACAAAAAAAATGCAAACTCCTTCCTGAAAGCTTTTTCACCTGAACTGTGTACCTCTTCGACAGGAAAGACTGTGCTAAAAACTTAAATTGCCAGGCATACCATCTAAAGGGAAAAAGATACAAAACACCGGGCCAGGGGAAAACCGGGGTAGCCACAGCCACCAAGAGGGAGATTTTTTTTAGTGCCGGGAAGGGAAAAAAAAAAACTGGGGGGGAAATGGCAAAAATCGTACCCCAAAATCCATCTTTTCCGGGAGTGGAACCACAGTCGAGGCCTCCACCCCAAAACCCAACAATACAGATACTAATGCCGGAAAAAAAATCCCCCCCAGTACCAACAATACCACCATCCTAACATTTTTCTTTGCAAATATACAGGT